AGAAAAAGAAGAAGAAAAAGAAGAAGAAGAAGAAGAAGAAGAAGGAGAAAAACAAAAAGAAGAACAAGAACAAAAAGAAGAACAAGAACAAGAAGAACAAGAACAAGAAGAAGAAGAACAAGAGGAAGAAAGACCATTTCTACAGTAAACACTCCCTTCTAACTTTAGACACTTCACAATAAAATAAAATTTGATAACTTTCATGGAAAGTTCAGAAGGCTCCAGATATTTCTATGAAATTTAAAATATATAGACTCTGCCAAAGAGGGTGCCATTGAAATCCAAAGAAGATCCAAAATTACACGAGAAAAAGACATGTTTAAAAAAAACAACCAACCAAATGAAACTTGATTTTGCTGAAGCACTGAAATATTTCAACAATATCAAGACTTAAAAAATAAAAAGACTCATGAGAATGCCACTGAAAATCAGAGGAGGTCAAAGGAATTTCACATGCTTTGAAAAAAAGAAACTAGTTACGCTTACAAAAATATCTCCCCACAAGGCAGCTGTAAAAAAAAGTTGATTAGGCCTCTGCTATACATGTGTTGTACATGCAGTGGCAGGGGAAACAAATTCCTTCATTTCCCCTCAGTTCAGTAATTTCAGGCCGACAAAGCTGCTAAAAATGTACAGTCACTGTTTTATTCTCATCAACATTGTAGAGATTGAACATCCCTTTTAACACTGCAAGGTTATTCAAGAGGAAAGACCTCCAAATTTGAAGTCCATCTTTGACAAAACTGAGCTAAATGGGCGGACACTTTCTCAAACAATCCCAGAACACCTTGTTGTGGATTCAAACTTGGGCCATTTATTTCAGTATGATAGCAATTGAGCCTCTGCTTTTTTTCTTTCTATATTCTGCAAGAGAAAAATCAGAAATCGGGATTAACACTCCATCCCCCCACCCCCATCATTAATTGCAATAAAAAACATACCTTCCGAGTTTGCACTGGACTCTAGGAATTCCGAGTTGATGCTACTGCCGAGGAGACTGGCGGCGCCACCACTGTTCTCCAGCGACCCACCCATCGACTGCTCCAGTGCTCCACCATTCTCGCTGACCACAGCAAACGACTCTGATGACCCCGAGCTGTCCTCAAGACCTTCCCGGTTTCTCTCCAGAGTACTCAACCTTCAGAAAGAGAATAATTCAATGAAAAATGTTTATTTGGATCCAAACTTTTAATCAGGATAAAATGGAAAATGGCGCAACAAAGTTTCCAAATCCATAGAAATCCACTGACAGTAGTGACACCTTTTTTAAGATCATTTGAAGATTCACAAGAGTATATAACAATGAACTTTGAAATCAAGGAAGAAAAATTGAAACTTATAAGACCACTGGGACACAAACAATTAACTCTACCAGCAAAATACTTTGTTGAGACACTTAAAACAAGCAACAAAAAAAACAACAATTAAAGAATCTAACTAAAGATAATTGGTATTCTCTGCAAATTTTGTTCACAATAAACACTTTTACGGACAACTTCAACCAACAAAGATTGACAAACCTCCCGTAATGGCTCTCAGCAAAAGCCAGCTCGTCCATTTGGCCGCCGGCTGGCTGAAAGCGGAAACCAGGCTGGACGCTGACCCTCTCGTCGTGTAGTAACTCTAGGATTGCCATGGCCGACAGATGAGCACCAGCCGAATGACCAATCAGGATGATCTTGTTCTGAGGGTGGAGAATCAATATAATATCGCTAGAACATATAAGGCAGATTCTACAATATCAACCCATCTGGACACATCATAGATTACTTACATTACTGTCATCCTTAACGGAAGTCCTTACAATTAGTTTAGTAGAGGTTTTATGGCGCTCGCAACTGCATAAGGTCATATGAGTGCTGTCCTTACAATAGCATCTCACAATACTTGATAATTTAAGAATATCCACTATCAAATTCAATATACATGTACAAAAATGTGCAACATGGTATAGATTTGACACCCCTAGCAACCGTACGGTTATTAAAGAGGCTGGACCTCTGAGGCAAAAATCCATCTCCAATAGAACTGAGACAAATGGGACTGTTTGTGTAAATTGTCTCTCCCAAGGTCACAATGTTGGACTGAGTTGAGACTCAAATCTCTGAAGCTGCAATCTCACAGTTATGGGTCCGGTAGTCTATCCACTAGACCCCTGATGTCATTTACATATGAATTCTATGAAAGAATCAAATTTATTAAAACACTTTCAAAAAATGGAAATGCGCGAGATAAGATACATCCTCTTAGCCTGAGATAATACAATCAATGCCTTTTTAGTCAAGTCGAGAATGTGCTCCTATACACCTTTTTACTGCAGTCATAAAATGCTGTGGGCTCTACAACTTGCTCAGGACATAATCTCAAGTATCATATGAAATGTCACTCTCTACCGGAAGTTGTGTTCAAGCGCCTAGCCGGCTGCTGAAACAGCTCTATGCATTTTTTCGCCATTTCTCAAGATTATGAATTGTGTTTTCTAGGAATTTAATATCATGTGAGGGCCCTTGATTTGCTTCATCTAGTGGTGTAAAAATAGTACTTATAAAGACAAGATCTAGTCTAATATTAGCCATGGAACTTGTAATTCTTACCCTGGCCCTATTGAACTATTTTGGCCATGTTTACAGTTTTGTAGTGAACTCTAGATCATACCACCATGTTCGGGTTTTCCCTGTGTTACACCCTTGCGCACTGAATCAGACAGGGAAAACAACTAAGTACACAAAAGATCAGCTGTTAAACGTAAACAATCCAAGTCTGAGTGTACCATCAAATGTGCTTACTAGTTTGGCCCAGTTAGGAGTTAGAAACAGCTGTGTTTGTCAATCAAAGGTAGTAAAGAGTGACAAGAGGGGTACGAGAGGTGGGACAAGGAAACAGAGAAAAATTATGGTGTGTCAGGGGATTCCTCGTGACACTGTTTCTAAGAATAGAACTACGACTACTGTGAACAAGAAAAACTTAATACAGATAGACACTCGTAATGTATTTCAACATAACTGTCCCAACTTAAGAATTGGCTGTATTAACACCCAGTCGTGCTGCAACAAAACAAACATTGTAAGAGACGTAATTGAAGAAATGAACATCGACTTGTTGTGCATCACAGAAACTTGGCTTCGAACAGAAGGCGATGAATCTATCATAGCCGACCTTCTACCACCCGGCTTTGAACTTAAATCTTTTTCACGCGGATCACGTGGTGGCGGAATTGCTTTTATTCATCGGCGAGGTTTACCAGTAAAGTTCATCTGCGGTGGTCCATCGTATCGCACATTTGAATCAGCCACTGCTTTCATCAGATCAGAGCAACTTACCTTCCGTGTGACATGTATCTATCGACCGCCACCTAACAAGAAAAATAAATTTACAAGTAAAGAATTCTTCATAGAATTCCAAGATCTACTCTTTCAACTAGAGCAAGCTGCCTCCCTCTTTTACATCATAGGGGATTTCAACTTTCACTTTGATGTTCCATCTGTACCAGACACCAAACGCCTTGTTTCAATTCTTGATGATCATAATCTACAGCAGCTAATCAAAGAGCCGACACATCGTAGTGGTCACATTTTGGACCTGCTAATTACCAACACTGCTGACCAACATGTTCTTAAACATCAGGTTTTAGATAAGGCTATCTCTGACCATTCTCTTCTGATAGCTAACATTAACATCTCCAAACCAAAACACGTAAGAAGAAGCATACTTTCAAGGAACACGAGAACAATAGACACACAGGCACTTCGGGACGACGTGAGCAAAACACTGACAAGTCTATCCTCCCTAGATGCAGACACATTTCATGACACTCTCAAAGCGGCAATCGACCAACATGCGCCAATGGTAAAAAGAAACATTTCATCGAGACCCTTTTCTCCTTGGTTTTCACTTGAAATCAAAGAGGCCAAGAAACATCGACGTCAGGCAGAACGCAGGTGGAGGAAATCAAAACTTCAAGTTCACAGAGACATCTTTATTAACCACCGAGACAAAGTCAACTCAATCATCGAAAATAACAAGAAAAAATACTATCTACATGAATTACAAGATGTTAAATCACCCAAACAACTCGTTCAGACTACCAATGCTATTCTGGGAAAAGAAACAATATCTCCTCTCCCCTCTGCAACATCAGATGACGAACTTTGTAGTTTATTTGTGACTTTTTTCAATGACAAAATTAATACCATACGCTCTTCTCTCGACCTAGAGCCAAATGGAAATTTGGAATTTTCAGAATTTACTGGACAAATATTAGATTCTTTTAGTCCAGTTACAAATAGTGATATTTTAAATTGTATTAATGGGTCAACCATAAAAACATGCGACCGTGACCCAATGCCTGCTCATGTATTCAAAACCTGTATTGATATTGTCCTACCTCACATTACTCAGATAGTGAATATGTCACTTGCCACTGGCACAGTACCTAATACTTTCAAACAAGCTATTGTAAAACCTTTATTGAAAAAACCCGGGCTTGATAAAAATGAATTTAAAAACTATCGACCAGTTTCGAATTTGCAATTTGTCTCAAAAATTCTAGAGAAGATTGTTTTAAGTCAAGTTTTGTCTCACATGAGAAAAAATGGTCTTGAGGAAATTTACCAATCTGCCTATAAAACTCATCATAGTACCGAAACTGCGCTTTTAAAAGTAACGTCTGATTTATTGGATTCCATTGATAGCAAAAAAATATGTCTTTTAACTCTTTTGGATCTGTCCGCAGCTTTTGACACAATTGACCATGCTATTCTACTCACAAGACTTGAGCGCTCATTTGGCTATCGGGTACTGTGCTTTCATGGTTTAAGTCATATTTACTAGAAAGAGTTCAGTCAGTGCAAATTAAAAATAGCTTTTCAAAGCAGGTCAGGCTCGATTATGGAGTTCCACAGGGGTCCGTTCTTGGACCAGTGCTCTTTACACTATATACACAGCCCTTAGCAAGCATTTTACAAAATCATGGATTGAATTATCATTTTTATGCCGATGATTCCCAAATGTATGTTAATGGCACCATTCAAGATCTACCAAACATGATTTCCATCACTAAACAATGTTTTTATGAAATCAAAAAGTGGATGACAGTAAACAAATTGAAACTAAACGAAGAAAAGACAGACATCATTCTTATAAAAAATCCACGATTAAATAAAGATCTGGAAAGTGTCAACTTTGATTTATATGGGCATATGACATCTAGTAAAGAAGTTGTCAGGAATCTCGGTGTATATATTGACCACCACTTATCAATGGGCTCGTTTGTAGGATCTCTGTCCAAATCCCTTTATTTTCAGCTGAGAAGGATAGGCCTAGTTCGAAAGTACTTAAGCGAAGAGACTACAAAAACACTGGTAACATCTCTTATCCTATCTAGACTAGACTATTGTAACTCACTCCTGGCAGGTCTGAACAACAAATATTTGAATCGTTTACAAGTAATTCAAAACAATGCCGCTAGACTGATAACAAGATCTAAAAAACGAGACCATGTCACTCCATTATTAAAAGAACTGCATTGGCTCCCTGTAAAAGAACGAATAATATTTAAAATCTGCGTCATGTGTTTCAAATGTGTAAATAAAACTGCTCCTTTTTATCTACAAGAACTTATCAGTATATATAAACCAGGGAGAAACCTAAGATCATCGAACGATAACACCCTACTTGTGACACCTGTAAAATCATACAAATCATATGGAGAGAGATCTTTCTCATATCTTGGTCCATTTATGTGGAACAGATTACCCATGAAACTAAGACAAATAAGAACACTTGATAGCTTCAAAAGACATCTTAAACATTTTCTGTTCCTACAGGCCTATCCTTCATAAGCTTTTAACGTTATCTTTTATTACATTTGTTCTTTTCCTATGTCTGGATGAAAATAGTCTGTGTGTGTGTGTGTGTGTGTGTGTGTGTGTGTGTGTGTGTGTGTGTGTGTATGTGTGTGTGTGTGTGTGTGCATTAATGTATATTGCTTGAGAAGAAAGGAAGTAGTAAGAAAGGTTTTTGAAAAATGGGTATTCCAATGTAAAGCGCATTGAGCTACTTTTTTTGGAAATGCGCTCTATAAATGTTATATATTATTATTATTATTATTATTTATCTCTAGCATTAGGCTATCTACAGCAAAAAATATAACTGATTAAAAACATGTGATAAACTGAAGAGATACAGTCCCATTTAACTTAAATATTTATATCAACTTATCACAATTGCTTTCAAGATAGTTTTTTAACTCTGTATTGAAATACACATGTCACGATGCGGTGGAATCAGGTGCTCGTCAATTTTGGGGCATATTGCCTTGCTTCTGATGGAAAAGGTATATTCATTTATGTTGGATACAGGAAAAAATATTGGCGATTGATGGAGGTGGGGGTTGCCTGATTTCAGAGGTAAAAGCAGAGAGAAAATGGCCGCCAAAGTTCAGTTATTCTCTTAGCTTGAGAGTCTGTGGAAACTGAGAATTTACATCTTTTATGCCTTTAGTCAACGTTTTTCAGTAAAACCCATACAGAAATGGGTTCTTTAAAGGGGCATGCAAGGTGTTAAGCCAAATAACAGAAATTTGGTAAAAATTCCCAAACCTGCGGAAAAATGCCGGTTTCTAGACTTTCATTATTTTGACGAGCGCCTGATTTCACCACGCAGCCTCACATAATATAAGTTTGAAAGCCTAAGAAACTCACTAAAACAGTAAAAAAAAAAAAAAATAGTGTCCTCTGGGATTGTAGACAAGCATACACAATTATTCGTAGCAGTTTGCTTACATAAGCTAAAACAACATTATTTTGTTGTCTACATTCACAAAAACTGAATACGGGTGTTTAGTTTAGGCATCTCTTTCCCAAGGCAGTATTTCTGACAATGCAGAATTCATAGCAGCATTGATAATTATTAAGTATAATCTAACACTGGTTGAAAGGGTTTCTTATCGTACTTCCTACATAATCATATTAACCTATCTCAAACCCTTGGAACTTAAAAAAAAATTGTAAAGATTCCAAATTTTTCTATATTCCGCCTGAAGAATTAAAAAAAAAATTTCTATGACAGACTGAATTTGTCTTACCATACTTAAAATATAAGGAAGGGTGAAGATACTATTCAGGACTCACCTTATCTCCACCATATTCCTCAATATTGTCAAGAACCCAGCTAATGCAGTCCACAACATCTTGAATCATATCGTCAACATAACCCTGCAGAAAAGGCAATAAGGAAGAAAAAAGTATAGTTCTGTTATAAAATGTCTTGAACTTTGAAAGCAATACAAATTACACAGCAGACAAAAGCACATTTCCTCTTCATCTACAAATAAACAATCTGACCAAATAAATAACCTCTTTCCTAGAAACAAAATACAACTCAGGTGAGAGTGTGCAAACTAAGCACAGATTAGAAAACATTAGCATCAAGCAAACAATGCCAGAGGCATGGCTTTAAGGTGGTAGCTGGGTATGTGTCCCCATTTTAGTATTTGTAAATTTTACTGCACTTGCAACACAATAAGGTCATATAAGCGCCAAAGACAAGAGGTGTTACAAGAGAATACCAAACACATATAAGAAGGGGGAAAGATCAGGACGATAGATGTCTAATAAGAAAGAAAGAGCACACCACCAACTTACATGGTTTCTAGGTAAAAAGAACTAATGCTTCTAGAAACTTCATGTCACTATGGCAAATGATAATGATAACACTTGCACACTTTTTACTTGAAGGAAGTGGGGCTGAGGACACAATCTCCAGGCTTGTCAACTTTTTCAAAACTCAGTCACGGACACCCAACATTATAACATCAGATTACGTACCAGTGAACAAAATTACATCAAGTGAGGCAAGTTTTGGGTGTTAAACATGTAATGTCTTCTCGACACAAATTTCTGTTCGCTGAATTTCGGACAGTCCCAGAAAAAAATTTGTGACAGTTGGTAAACCCGCATGCATCCTTGCTTGCTTGATTATATTGCAGGTAAAAAACATGAACAAACCTTTGGGTGGACGGAATAGTTGGGACAGATGGTGACGGCTCCAGTCTTGGCCACAAGCTGAGAGCACAACAGCCCGTACATGCTCTTATCCCCTGAGCTCCACGAGCCGCCGTACACAAATATGATCACGGGTAACCTCTGGCTCGGGTCTCTGTCACATGGGAGGTATAAGTCCAACGTGCAGTCATTTCTTCCAAATGCCAGGTTCTGGAAATTTTTTTTTTTTTTTAAAATGAAGAAATGTTTTGCTGAGACAACCATTTATTTGCATAAAATGAAATATTATTAACAACAGTTCATTGTAAGAGGCAAAAATCTTTTCTCATGGCGACCAGTTTTCAAGAAAAAGCCAACCTACTAGGAACACCAGACTGGTAAATCTAAAGACACATTAATACTACAAAAAAGGTAAAGAGCTTTTAATTCAGAAATGATTTACTGGCCTTTAATTTTCTCTGCACATAGGTAATTATGTCCTAAGTCATCAAAACCAAGGTGAAAACACCCAAGTAATCCTTTAGCCTATTTCTGACATATGAGAACTGACTGTGTGGCTGGAAGATTGGTATTTTTTTCTCCATTTTTGTTCCCTAGAAAGTTTTGCACTTTTTACATAAAATAAACTAAAAAGAAATGCACAGAGCTTTGTTCATGTTCATGATATGTATATAAGCTCCAAAAAAAAAAAAAAAAGAACCCGAACAAAAATTAAAAATTTAAGTAAAGGTATCAGGTGTTCCCATAAGAAGATATTACTTATGGTTCAAATCCACAAGGGACTTTTTCACCAAGAGAGCAGTCACTGTTTGTTACTAAAAGATACCTTCTAAAAATAAATCTTTGCTTTTTCTGGCATTAATGTTTTCACAAAAAAGTTAAGAACTGAGAATAACTCCAACATTCAATTACATTACACCATGGAATTCATGTTTTGAGAGAATACACTTTCGAAAGGAAGAGTATACATCCAAAATAGAGAGAAAAAATACACACACACACACACACACATATAAATGCTCACCTTATAAACCCTCCGAGGATCTGCGTTTTTGTAAAACTTTTTAAACTTCAGGTATAGGGGTAGCAATTTCGTTTTATCTCTTAGCATCTGAATAATAACGTAATTCAAGCCCATGACCTTCCTGGGGCTTAAAGCTCGTCTGTACTTGTGCTTCATCTGTGGCCAGCCATGCAGAATGTTGCTGACGATCGCTACAGTGTAGGGAATGGCAACAGCTGTAGTGACTAGCACTAAGGCCCCACGAATAATTCTGAAGAACATTGTTCCTGTGAAAGAAAAGGATTATTGTATTCTTTTATAAATATGTCCTGCACTCTCAATTCAACAAATTACAGTTAAATATAAGCAAAGCTCGTTTCATCCACTTTTTGCACTAAAACATTTGAAACTATCACTGTCAAGATGGCCACCCATTGTCATGGAGAAAAGTGGCCTTCTTAGACATGACGCTGTCTTACACAGAGTCAGTGGCAGCTCGTGGTTCATAGGACTGACCGGCCGTCATTCACATCGACTCTTTCTCCCTCCCCCCCCTTCCACCCCTTCCTTCACAACACACACACACACACATCCTCTCTCTCTCTCTCTCCTCATTTTATACCCCTACTTTCGCCATCCCCCCCCCCCTCCTCCCCCATTCACACACACAACTGTAAACATAATAATTAATATAATGTGAAAGAGATAAAATTATGGTAGTGTCAAGAAAGAATGCTATGAATAATAAAAACTGACTTGATTTGGCACAGAAAAGGAAACACTACTATGCTAGAAAACAAACTGAAAGTGAAAAGCAGTAAACTGCTGGTCTTGGCCTCTAGTGCAGTAGTCTCTGCCTAAATGCACGGTGCTCTGGAGGGCTCCTTAGCGTGTGTTTATACGGAGCGTGCGTTTACATGAACCTGTGCAAAGGAAGGAAAGGACGCAGTCAACTCAATTCCTTATCACTCTAGTGACCTCCCTTGAAGGGTGGGGGTCATTTTGGCCGAAAAGGTGACGACATGCGACTGTTTTGTGAAGGAGTTCCTGACGGGGCTTAAGAATACAAAGGCGTTGAATGGGGGGGAAGAAAGACAGACTCAATGTAATGAATGCACTATAAAACGTCGGGAACAGATAGCCTAAGAGGAAAATGTTGGTGATAGTCATAGAGACGATGCCACAGCCACGTGGCTTTCCAAGCGACCACCCCCGACAGTAAATTCATCTACGACATTAGAATCATAGATCTCTACATTCAGAAAAACATTTCTTTTGTGATTCATTGAGAAAGTACGTCTTTAAATTCTTCGAGCGCAGCTGATTAGGCTTACTTGGCTAATCTTTAATCCTATAGAGGCCTGTCAAGTGTTTTACATTTTCCGGCATTTACGCGTGTCGCGCATGAGGCCTAGGTCTAACGTCTAACTAAACATTACATGATGCAGCCACCCAAACACCAGTCAGAAACTTTCTCTCAAAGATTGCAGATACATTTCCAGTGAACAATAAAAAAACATTTCAGTGCCCTGATTTCCCCCCCCCCCCCTCAAACTTTTCACCGACCAGTCCTAGACATATGTGTCTGTGGAAAGTTGGGAGTGAAAACACTGTCCATCACTCTCTTTGTTCTGCGTGAGGGGCACGCTCGCCAAATATCCGGTTTTCTAGGCTTGTCTTATGCAGGCTGCGCAGGTTGTAGTGAAAATATCCCTTGGTCAAGCTTTACCTGTCACTACTGTCAGCGTGTTTAACAGATCGGAGCGTGCGTTTAGAGGGAGTGACTGCGCGTCTAAATTATATATTTAGTAAAAAACCCGTCAGATGACGAAAGCGTGGGTTTGAGCGGAGCGTGCTTTTGTATGGCGTGAAGGCGGAGACTACTGTACTTTAAACAAAGACTTTTACTTTCTACACACCCGCACAAAATATCGACGTGCACTCCACCCGTAAATATGTAGTAAGAACTGTCCTGTATGATAACAAAAAGTCAATTGATACTGTACGAATGATGCTGTCCCATGCAGATGAAGTCTACAATCAGATATACAAAGCTGGACAAAGTTAGCACACAACAGTTTCCGACCATTATATAATTATTATAATCAAACATTTTTCATCGCACTTCTCAGTTCTCAGAGAACACTGTTGTAAATAGAGAGTAGTGGTTTATATCTAAGGTTGTAACAAAGTGGGGAAATGTGTCAAAAGCTAATTATAGAACTTGGTGTCTAGCTGGGGTGACGTTGGAAAAGGGGAGGGAAGGGAGGGGGTAGGCCTATTGTTTTTGCGGCCCAAACTCTGAGAGCCGAGTGCCTATATCGCTCCTCGTTATAATTCTCCCTATATATATCTCAACTAGATGATTCCTTTTTCGCCGGCAAGACTCATATGGGCCAGGTAAGTTATTAGTTGAGAGAAAGTGATGAATAAATACCAAATAGGAACTATAGAAGAGGCTAAAAATTCAATATAAACCAAAAAGATTAGTGCCATGCTGACAATAAATGTTCTGATAAAAGTTACAGAAAGGCTGAATGATAAATAGTATGTATTGCTGATAAAATAACACTTGTGTCTGTGCTGCTCAAGACAGTCTCATTCTTAATTTTGTAAGCAACACAGAGGCCACTTTGGCAATTTAAGGGATGCTCTATTCGTTCTGAGGGCAGTTGATGGATTTGCCCAGCAGACTGACGTGATCGTTGAACCCGCCGAGTTCGGTTTGTTCTCAAACCAAGTTCCGCGACGCGACGGCGTGACGAGAGACGTTAAAGTTACGAGCCGGCGCGATAAACAAACGTGAAGGAATGAGGCTCTGTCGCGACAAAACAGCAGTGAATCCCATTTGTCTATTTGTGCGCCTTCAAATCAGCAAGGAGCTTTTTGAATGTTGATACGTTTGTTTGGATTTACTTAAAAATGAAAGAAAATCTTCATCAGCATTAAATCTCTTGTCAACAGCCCAGTTAACAAACCGCCCCAGTACAGAGTCATCATATAATGTGAAATAACAAAAGGGAGGGAATGGGAAGTGGCCATTTGTAAGGTGACTGTCTTACACAGCTGACCATCACAGCAGGTTCGACAGTAGGCCTACTTATGAATGCACCATGTAGTGCAGAGTTTCACCCCTCTCTTCATTTTGACTCGCCTACTATCCAATCCTGCTAATCTAACTAGATCAAGTTCAGAAATATTTAATTGCATTTTAAATAGCATCAGAGCACTTGAAAAGAAAAAAATGCGGTGCATTTGTATACATCGAATGAATATATATATACTTCAAAGGCAGCAAAGAAGTTAAATTATCCAACCCCTGGTCAAATATATTACAGAGACAGTAATTGCCCTGGTTAGGTCACAAGAGGCTGGCATAAAAGACTGCATAGCTAGCCTTTGACATCAGTACAGGGGAACTGAAGTTTCAAGTGGCAACACGTAATTACAGCAATTAGAAAAGGCCGTCTTCCGAATAACATTTTTTCCTTGAATAAAAAAAATTCATAATATAATTCAGACTCGAGTCCGAATATGAAAAAATGTTATTTGGACTCGGGTTCAGAAAAAAGGAAGTGTCTTCGTTCTATAGATCTAACGTTCAGAGCTTCCAATTTTCCGCCACATTTTAGTTTTCACACACTTTTTCTGCCGAACCGATGCCCGCCACCTCATTAATACATCCCCCTCCCCACCCCCCATGTTTCCCACTTTCTTTGTTGTAGAAAAAGGTAAAATTGAAGATTAGCAGACCACATGGTACCTGCCTATATTATGAGCTGTGTAAAAAAAAAAAAGACCAATTCGTTCAAATACACACAAGCCTGTGTCATCTCGATTGTTTACCAAGAAAAAGTTGTGTTGCTGTGTAGAGCAAGCATACAGCAACTTTTCATTCCATAGACCAGCGCACAATTCATTACGTAGATCTACGTCAAGACTAGCTTATTATCGTAATAACGATCAGTTACCGGGGAAAAAAAGACTGACGCGTATGCGACGTTCAACGCCCGGGACGATAGTGCCCCACCCCCCTCCCCAACATGCACACAGCCAAATGTGTGCAGGCCGTCCATCCGACCCCGACACACGCTAACGAGCCATCTTTAATTCCTTCTGATGACCTCTTGACAAATAAACATTTATTAGAAGCGCTATAACTTTTCAGGCCGGCCTCAAATTCATCATAAATAAGATAAAAACTCGGCTCCTGCACAAAACGTCATTTTGCCCGAAGGGATCCCAGTCTCTACCCAGCCTAAGGCGAGTCACAAGTGAGGCAGGACAGGAAGCCGGAGTCACGAGTCACAGGAAGTCGGAAGTCGGAAGTGAGGTCATGCTGGACAAGAATCAAAGCCCAAATAACATTTTTTCATATTCGGACCCGAGTCCGAATAGTCCAGGCTTCGAATTAATAGAAAACTCAAACTTGCTAGCTGGGAAAGCTTTTTAAACTAACTGACTGAAGGTAAAATTCTAGCGCAGTAAATGATTTAAACCTTTTAAACCTTTATTCATTATAATTAAAATAAAAAACAATTATTATAACAAAACATTCTCATGAAGATCAACAATTACAAGAAGCAAAGAAAAGAAAAGGGTCAGCAAGTCAAATACACACAGGTCCGGGAGGTTAGACATGATAGTCACTGAATCGTCTGGGGAAGGTGAGTCAAGGAAAAGATCTAGATCTAGGGCCTAAAGTGGATACCATCTCCCCAAGGCCGTTGTCAGCTGTTGGTTTGAAAAAAGACAATTAAAAGTAAGTTTTTAGTCACAAATCAGTCAAATCAAATCAATCCAGTCCAGACTCCAGAGGTCAACCTTGAGTACTCCAGCTCCCCCCAGTGTTAACTGCATGTTTTATGTTAGTCAAAACTTGATATTATTACAATATAGAGACCATGCCATCCAGTCACGAATATTGAGTAGAATCTGATCTATCCGACTATCTTATCCAACTAGAATCTAGATCTAATCTCTGCTGTGGCAAAGAAGAGTTGGTCTCAACAAAGATTCAAGTCAGTCAGCTGGGTTAATCACGGGAAAAAAATAACACTAAAAATCTTAAATTCGACATAATATACAATGGAATGAAACAATAACTTACTTGAGCGCAGCCTCGGGGCTGTTTGCGAACAGGGCTATTTGACTTTGTAAAGCAGCAAGGGGGACACATCAATAAATTACAAAACAATTCTCAGTTTACGTTCATGCAGGTCGCCATCTTGTTTATGAAAAACGTGAACTGTGAACCTAGGCTAGCGAAATTTCGAAAGTAGGGTCCCATTTTTATTCCCCATTTCCGGTCGAAAGTCGAAAGTACGGAGAGTGTAAAAAAAACCCAACCCGAATTCTGAATGTTTAGACTGAGAGGGAAAAACTCTCTGGTTTAGACCTAGATCTAGATTTATCTTAGATTAAATGCTCATCTGAATCCATTGTCATTCCGTAACATAATAAAATCTATTTTGTCGTTGCTTGAAAAATTGTAAAATGTATAATGGACTAAAAAAATACATGTTCATCAAGGAGTTTACAGTAGGCCTAAGCTAAACTGCTTGATGTTTATGTACAATACTGCTGCTTGTAGTACCCCCCCCCCTC